ATTTATTTTATTATATATAGAATTTAGCCAGCTGAAGGATGCAGAAGTTGTTCTAGTATAGTATAAAAATTGATATGCAAATTATGAGTGGACACAACACACAACGTCATTGAGGGTTGTGAGACTTCGTTCCAAAACTCTCACAATGACATTGTGTTGAGTTGAGATTTTCATCATCATCCTAAAGTTGTATAAGCTTGAAGATATCTACACTAATATAAGATACTACTTTCTTACTTGAAAGGTTTCTAAAGAAATCACAGGTTACTTGAAGGAGATCTGAAAAACAGAAGATAAATTAAAATTCATTGCAAAAAGGTATAAATAGGGATGGTGAGGTAGACATTGAAGCTGGCTAATCAGCTCACTCTAAGGAAGGTTTGACTGAAGATATTGAATGACATAAAATGAGAAAATACTTTTTTTACATCCATTTAATTATGATTCTTTGAGATGCCTGACATATTAAGATAGACAATAGATAAGTCAGATTCCTTTTTGAGTATTTCTTCAAGTATCCATAAAAAGAAAGTCTTTTCAGATTGATATAGTTTATAGATAAATACATTTTGAAAAAAATCTCCTGTTCAATAATAAAAATATCAGTGTAGAACTTTCTAATGACAGTGATCCTTCTATTGAAATGGTTATCCAAAGCTTCTTCAAATCACAATTGTCTATAGATAATACTTAAACAAGTTAGAAGAGTATGATAAAAGTATTAAAATACTTGATAAATGTTTTATCTTCTTTATCTATTCTTCATTTTTTAAGTGCTTTTAGTCCTGAAGATGATAATACAAATAGTAAAGTAAGATGAATATTACAAAAATGATTCAATTGCTGATGATTATTTTTGTTGCTCATTTTGCAAATTGATATGATGAGTAAGGTATTATTAGAAATATTTATATTACTATATCTACTTTACACTACTTTATATTTCTAATGCCTTAATTGCTTTAATTATAAAGTTATTATCTGCTTTAGTTTTATAAGATTCTGCAAATATTAAACCTTTATATCATCATTCTCATAGGTTAACAAAATAGTAACTACCCTTTTTTTTTGAGTAAGACTCTTTATAAAGTATATATACAAAGTAGTCTTTTCATCTTTTGTGAAGGTAAAATATGAAATTTTGGAACTTTCTAGATCTTTTTATAATTGTACTATCATTTTTTCCCTTCTCTATATACAGAATATGACCAATGAAAATCAATATGCAGAAATTCGTGTTTGTTTAATAATTATCTGCAATGTATTATAAATAAATATATATTTTATTATAAAAATAATGCTGGTTGATTTACTTAGAAATTAACCCTTACTTAAAATCAACTATAACACAATAAATATCATTGAAATAATATATTGTTTAAAGCAGTAATAGCAAATTATGAGATCATTTACTATTTTTTTTTTAAATAACTTTAGTCATTTTACCTTAAAATTTATAATAAAATGAGATTATTTGAGGTTATTTGAGATTATTTTGAGGTTATTTGAGATTATTTTAAGGTTATTTTAAGGTCATTTACTAATACGATTTAAAGTAATAAAATGAATTTGTCAATTTTTACTAATTACACTATGAAAATACTTATATTTACAAACGAATTCTTTGTTAAAGGATTAATTGGCTTTATTTTTAGTCTATTACTAAATAGCATACTTTGTAATGGTTAACTTAGTAATATAGAAGTTTTAATTCAAATAATGAAGTTATAATCCATAATAAAACTATTAGTAATAAACAAAATTTACGTGTCAAAAATTGAAAGTTATAGAATAATTTAAAATAATTATATAATAAAAGAATTAAATTGGATCTAAAAAAATTTTATCTTTGAAGAACAACTCTGTGAAAAAATACTATCAAGGTAATTCAACATTGGATTGATGAAAAAAGAAAGAAATTGTAAATCATAAAAATGAGAAAATAAAAATAAAGAAATACAAATAAAATTTATTATAAGAAATTTATCGGATCAAACCAAATATTCTCTTATAATAAGTAATTTCTTATAACAGAGTCAATAATTAGATATTAAATTGAGTTAAGAAAAATTTTTTCTTATAGATTACATTTTTTATATTTCTTAATTAAGATTTCTTATAATGGGTTTTACTTATAGGTAATAGTGATAGTATTATTAATGATAGTAATAGTATAAATGATAATAAAATTTAAACTTTGCATTAGAGTGACTAAAGAATAGGTTATACTCATTAATACTTTAGGTCTGAGTATTTTCTTCCTATGTAATTACTCTAATATTTTTACTATTATTTATATTTTCAAAAGTGATCGTATGTTTTAATAAAGATATTTGATTATAATTGTATTACAAATAGAGATACTTAAGTAATCCTTTATCAAATAAATCAGAAACAATCTTTTATTGATAAGGTTACTTGATTAGTAGAAATCTTAGTAGAAAGCTTTTATGTTAAATTTATTTTCTTCAGAAAAAAAAAACTTTGAAAGATTAATTTAAAACTGAATAAAGAATAAGCAATTTTTAACTATTAAGTTAAAAAAAAAAATTTTATTTATTCTTATTCCTAATTAAGTTTTCATTTTTTTCTTAGTTTATTATAAGTTGATATTAATGTTTATTTATTGGTTTTTACTTTTCATTTTTCTTAATAAATTTCATAAATAATTTTTTCTTTATCTAAATAATTTTGAAAAGTTTGAGTAATATTGATTTTAAAAACATATGAAGCAATTTTTTTTCTCATTTTTTTTTACTAATAATATTGTAATTCTTGGGTTTCATAATGGATTTAATATAAATTAATTTCATATTAATATTTTTATATAGACATAATTCTATATTAATTATATTATAATTTAAGCAAAATAAAAAGTTAGCCTCAATAAGTTAAATACAAGTTATATTCTGATAAAATATTAATTTAAAAAATTGTAATTTACATAAATTTGTATAAGTTATAGTTATGATAATTAAAATGTTATTAGTCAAATTGGTTAATTTTTAGCTATATCAACCTTTTATTTATGTTATATAATCAAATATTACTTTGTTTAGTTTTGTTGTATTATATTTAATCAAATAATTATGATAATTTTTCTTTTTTATTTACAATAAATAAATAATTATCAAATGCAAAAATTATATTCTAAATAATGAGATCTTTTAAATAATTGTCTCAAGTCTTATAGTTAAAAAAATTTTAGCTTTCTCTTTCTTTAATATTACATGTAAAAAATATTACTTAAATTTAGTTATTTTGATTACTAAAGCTACTAAAGTTTATCTAATAAAAAAATGGTCTTATAAAAATCTCATTAAATAAATTACTTATATCACTATTATATTAATTTAAAAGGAAAAATGCTAATCATATTTATCAACAACAAATAGTAAATCCAATTATACCTTTCTTATCTATCTTAGATCTATCATTCAATAAAAATATTAAACTTATTAAACAAGTTAGTTATTAATAATCTAATCTAAAAAGATAAACTTATTCAATTTTCTTTTAGTCTATAATATTTGTTTTTACTAAGGTTGCTGAACAAAATCCAAAGTTTACAGATGTCTAAATAGTAAAGGTAAAACTTGGTTAAATTATATTAAAACCTTATTAAAAAATCTGCAAAATTCAGAAAAAGGTAAAACTATATCAAAGCTTATAAAATGATGAAACTATATTAAACACTTAGTAAAAATTTAGTAAAACTAAAGGTTTAAACATTTAGCTAAATCCAAAATGAGTTTAGACAAGCAATCTTAGTCTTTACTTATAATCTATAAAATAGATCACTATTAAATTTAATCATTAAAGATTACTCAAAGAGTATAGGATAAATTTATTCTGATCTTTATAATTTACTATTTTATTCATTTAATATTTTAATTATTAATACCTTTTCTTTATCAAGAATAGAATTATTACTAAATTTTTTTTAAATAGATTAAAATTTGATTAATATATTAATAATAGTTTTTTTAACTATTTGATTAAAAGAAAATTTTTTCAATTATGCTATTTGGATCTTATTATATTATATTATCAAATAATATCAACTATTTAAAGTTAAGGAATATTCTGGAAATTATTTTAATACTAAAGCTAATTTTTTTACTGAAGATAATTATTTACAACCTATTTTTCAATTTAATTATTTAGCTTTTGATGATTTGAAACTCTTTATAATTTTTAACATAATTCTGCTCAAATTTTCCTTTTGAAATTTTTGGAAAGATCTTAACTATTATTTATATACTAGTAAAGAATCTGAAAAATAAATCTTAGTATTTTAAAATTTTAATGAATCTCTCTCTATAACTTCTAAATAATGATTCAATACTTTATTACAATTCAAATTATTTATTATTTTTTTTTTTAGCAAAATAATATATATTAACAGATTTAGGATTGATCTGAATTTGATTTATGATTAGTCTAATATTGATTAAGTGTATATAATAATGGATCATTAAAATAACATAATAATATATATAATAAATATATAAGAGCTTTGTAGTAAAAAGGGAGACAACTCTAAAAAAATTTTTTTTGAATTAATGTAAATCTGAACTTATTAGAAAATAAAGTTTAATTTTTTTAGAATTTCCTTCCTTTCTACTGCAAAGCTTCCATATTGCTTTTTAATTAACAACATCTTTTAAAATAACAAAATTATATTGCTTCTTAAAGTAATAAAATGACATTTAAGAATATTGCATTAAACTACTGAAAATTAGTTTCGGTTTAACTAAACTAGTTTTACTAAATATAATTAAATCATACAAAATTTTTCGCCGGCGATCATTTCCGTATAACGTCTATATATATTATATATATTTTATAAAAACTCATTTTTTATTAATCGTTTAACGTTAATAATTTTTGATCAAAAATTTATTTTAATGTTGACATCATCTAAACATAAGCCTGCAACTGGCCAACCTACAAATACTCCAAATAATGAACGTACGAATAATAGTAACATTGATTCGAACCGAGAATCAACCAATAATACAAGACAGCAGCAACAACAGCAACAAGAGCAACCAACATGGCTGCAATCAATAATGCAAGGAATAATTCGAATAATGATAATTTATTATGTCATCAATTATTTTTTTAAAGGCAAGTTTTTACATTTGGGTTATGATTAAAAAATTGTTTTTTAATACGAAAAAATTTAATTGGTTTTTTAAAAAAAAAAAAAAAAATAGGAACAAATAATCCAGCTCCTATTAATACCTCAAAAAGTTATGACAGCCCAGATATTCCAGTTACATCGAATTCTTTTAATCCGTCACATTTGTATCCATCATGGGAGACGGATTCAAGTATGGTAAGTTGAAACGACACTAAAAACTCATTGTATCTATATTCAATTTTTTTATTATTATTAGGATTTACGTGTATATATTTCAGAAGATGAGAACTTTGCTGACTTTAAGAACCTTGATGTTCTCAAATGGCACGCTTCATCTATTCAACTTGGAAATTGGGATGATGAAAGAGACAAATCAGTGGATATTCAAACTTCTGTGGTAAGATAACGTACATTTATTATCACATGATTTGCGTCATAACTAGTTTATTTGAAATCATCATCTTTCCCTTAATAGAATGTGCGAAACAACGGCACCTTGTATGCACATATTTATCTTACTCTTAATAAGGCTTCTCCAGATCCAACAGATCCATCATTTCAAGAAAACATGAGAGTATATACAAGGAAATGTATTTATCAAAAATTTTTAATTTTTAATTTATTTTAAAAGATATATTTCACAATTTATTTGAATTTATAAGTGCTGACAAGGTATTACCCAAAGCGCAAAGTGATCAAGACAAAGAAACTTATTGGCGGCAGTGATGATGACGAGATTGAAGAAGTTGAAGAACAAGAAGTAAGATGATTTCTATAACAGTTTAGCATAAAATTATATTTAATAAAAACTGATCTATCTTTAGACAAATCCAAGCGTAATCCCGATAGTATCGTATTGGCACCAAAATCTTACGCTTAATATTATTTCAGATAATACTGTCATTCCATATCGTCAATTGACACCTGTTGTCGCATCACGTAAGTTATTTTTTAAATGAACTTTTATAAATTTTTATTGTATTTTCTTATATGTTGCCTAAATAGATATTCAATTGGATACAACTACCTTATTGGATCCTTCAAGCAAAGCTGGATATTATCTTCCAGTTTTAATTGCTAATGATTTCTGGATTCTCAGAGAACACTTGACGCCTATTAATGAAACAGTCGAGTAAGATTTTTTTTCAAAAAACATAATTTATTGCTTTTAATAAATATATTAATACGCTTATTATATTTAGAATACTGCCTTTAAATATTAAATATTATCCTATTTCAATGTGGAAATTCCAAATATATGTTCAATTGGGAGAGTCATTCAGGACACAAGCCGAAATGATGGGCGGAGATGCACATAGTGAATTTGATGAAATTAAGAGAATGTTAAGAGAGACAAATCCAATTCTGTTAGGTGTAACATTTACGGTATCATTATTTCATAGTATTTTTGAATTCTTGGCTTTTAAAAATGGTTTGTATTATTTTATTTTTCAAAAAAAAAGAAAAAGAAAAAAAGCATTAACTAATTCCAAATTATTGCTTAATTAGATATTGCTCATTGGAAAAATAAGGAAGAGCTGACAGGAGTCTCAGTCCGATCTATTCTATTGAATATATTCTTTCAGTTAATAATATTTTTATATTTAATGGATAATAATCATGATACGAGTTGGATGATTTTGATTGGTCAAGGAATTTCAGTGGCTATTGAAGTTTGGAAAATTAAAAAGGCTGTTGATGTTAAAGTTAGTACAAAATTATATTATCATTCACAATATTATTCTAGACAATAACTAATTAAAATTTCTCTTAATTTATAGATTATTCCATCTCAAGGATTTTTCAAATATTCAATAAAATTCGTAGATAAACATAAACTTTCAGAGAGTGAAGAAAAAACGAAGGAATATGACAGACTTGCTTTTAAATATTTGTCTTGGATAGCTTATCCATTACTTACTGGTTACGCCATTTATAGTCTTGTTTACAATACACATAAAAGTTGGTATTCCTTTGTTTTGTCAACTCTTGTCGGGTTCGTTTATGCATTTGGCTTTATAATGATGACTCCACAATTATTTATCAATTATAAACTTAAGAGTGTAAGCAATTATTTTATAATTTCTTTTTTTTTATAATTTCTTTTTTATATTACTAAATCTGTTTATTATAACAATTTCAGGTTGCGCATATGCCTTGGAAAACACTTATGTACAAAACTCTTGGTACTTTTGTGGATGATTTGTTTGCCTTTTGCATTAAAATGCCTACTTTACATCGTTTGGCATGTTTGAGAGATGATGTTGTTTTCTTCGTGTATCTGTATCAAAAATGGAAATATCCAGGTAACTTTATGTTCGCTAACTCGAGTTCGAACTTCATTTACGATATTCTAATATTTTTTTTTTATTCTTTTTTTTTGAAGTTGACCATAAGAGAGCGAACGAATATGGGCAGGTTGCGTCTGAAAATCAAATAGATCAAATAGATCAAGGATCCCAACCAGAAAGTAAAAAAGATAAATAATGTAATTAATTCATAATCGCAAAGTCAGGTGAACCAAGGATGTATTTTAAATTTGCATAACAATTGTAATAATGTTATTAATAAATCAAATATTATATTTAATTTGTAAACTTTCAATTTCTATTTATATAAAAATTGTTTTATAAAAATTGTTCAAATATCTTCAATCAACTTAACTACAGAAACAAATATACATCATCATCTTCCAAATGATGCATGGTATTTGAAATTTGGTTGTTTTCTTTAGATTTCTTGCCAAATTGATCAATGGTTCGCTCTCCACCTTTCTTTAGAATTTCATACGTGTGTAGTTCATCGAATTCATCTGTTTATTTACATTCCAGCGACAATAAAAAAAAGTTATGAAATCATATTTATTTTAACAAGATACGATATACAGTACTTTTACCTTTGCATTTCAATTCAATGTCTACGGGAAGAAGAGGTCTTATTAAGATTGATTTAAAACTAAATTATGAAATACATATCGAATTTACCTTTGTCATTATCAATTGCGCCTTTAATGACAATCCAACCTTCATCATCGTTCGGCCAATCGATATTTTTAATCGAATGAATTGAATTAAAAATTACAGAATGTTGAGATGATTGTGAAGGAATTGATGTATCAAGTTGTGGATGATCTTGCGGAGGGGGTGATGATGAATGTTCAAAATGGAAATATGAAGGTGAATCGATGATTAATTTCTTTTTTGGACGAATTAAAAGGTTTTTTTGTTTTGGTAAAATATTTGCTTCTGTAGCTATTTGCTGTAATGCATTTAATGCATTTTTGTGATATGCGTTGAAATCGGGTTCTTTATTGTATTCAAGATGCGACATGGTTTTTGTCAAAGCAAAAAAAAAAAAACTTGATTTGTTAAAGAAAGAGTAGAAGGAAAAAAAAATATTATTGTAATTTATAATATATCGTCCCATCATCGTTTCATCATTGATTTAATATCATTGATACGTTAATGTTGGAAGCTTTCTTTTTTTTTTTTATAATTTATCACACTTGCGTTATTTTCTCTTTTTTTGGATATTAAAGATCAAAATAAAAATAAAATAAATAAAAAGTAAAATATATTTATATATTTAATCTCAGTAAAAGAACCACACTAAAATTATTTATTTATTTATTTATTTTTTTTCATTCATTCTCCTCGTGATTGTTAAAAATTACACCAGTTGCTACTAAACAAATTGAAATTTGTTATTTACTTAATTTTCAAAATTTTTATTTATCGTGTACCTAAAGCTTGGCGTTAGGAAAGCTTGGGACGTGATCACGAAAGAATTCTTATAAAAGAATAGATGCAAATTCTAGAGGTTAACAACAGGTGCAAAATATATTACCATGATCATAAAAATCCCCGATATCATTAAAATTATTAAGATAGATTCTATTTACCAAGACAATGAATTTAGAATGTTCAATCGATTTGAATAAATAGAAAATTTATATATATTCAAAGTAACTAGAGAAACGAAAATTTGTATATTAATATGGGAAATGTTTTTCTCCAAAATTTTTAAGAAGATCAAGAGCTCTTTGGTCATCTTGCAAACTCGCTAATCTCAAGAAGTGTCTACCCTTTTCTTCATCTACAGTAATACCATAAGTTCCTTTTACATAAACGCTTCCCAATGTAAATAATGCATTAGTATTATTATTATGTGCTGCTAAAGTTAAATAACGGATAAATTCTTCGGAATTTTTCAAGGTATCATTTTCTATTAAAGATCTTGCATAGCAATATTGTGCTTCAGGTACTCCAGCATCTGCAGCTTGCTTATATAATTCAACAGCTTCATGATGATTTTTTTGTACATGCATCCCATTCTGTAAATAATATGCTTTCCAATATTTAGCTCGCGAATTTCCAATAGATGCATGTTTATTAAAGCAATCCCAAGCCGTTTTATGATCACCTTTTTCATGAGAAGTTAAACCTTCGGTAAATCTAAGTAATGGTTTAACAACCGGAATGATATTAAGGTTTGTATTGTTCATTTTTGTTTGGTATTCATTATTATAAGCTTTTTCTTGTTCTGGTAAAATTAGGATTACGGTATCATCATCATCAAATTTACGAGGTTGTATTTTTTCATTTTCATTTTCTCTTTGAGTGAATTGACTATAGAGTTCATCTAACTGCAAAAAGATTTTATAAAGTCCCGGACGGAGTGTTGCATCATCTTGCCAAGCTTATAATATAATTTTGTAAGCAATAACTTGTTAGCATATTTATTTAAATCAAAAAAAAAAATCCAATCAATAAAAAAAGAATTTTCACCAGCTCTAATAATTTTTGAGAAATCTTGTTGTACGCGTGTCGAATTAGGACCAAAATTTAGATTTTCTCTTTTTCCTGCCTGTACATGATTTGATATCTTTCCATTATTCCAACCTCGATATGGAATTCTATCAAAACAAAGTTCCCAAAGGAGCATTCCAAAGCTAATAAGAAGTGTTAAAGAACCTTAATTAAAAAGATAGAATTAATAAAGTACAATTATTAATACTTACGCTTACCTGAATATATCACATTTTGCCGTGTAATAGGAAATTCTTAATTCGTTTTTAAGGTGTTCAGGAGCTGCCCAATGTTCGGCAGGATCATCATGACGAATATAAATTTTTTCATCGTGCAATGGACGGCAAAGGCGGAAGTTCGCAACTTTTGGCTCTATATTTGCCGTTAACTAATTATAATAATAATGATGATGATTATCATTTTTTTTTTTAAAAAAAAAGATTTAAGTATTATGATAACATAAATATATAATTATTTGCACTTACGAATATGTTTTCGCACCTTAAATCATAATGGAGAATATCACTACCATGAAGAAATAAAAGTCCACGACAAATCCCAACAACAATATTTAACTTAGTTTGCCAGCTAATTGAGTACTTTTCATACAATCGTTTCAAATTATTTTTTTCAGCCCATTCGAAAACCATTACAATGCTTTCTAAAGGTTCCCATTCTAGCGCTGAAAGTCCGTGAAATTTTAAAAGATATGGACAATTATTTAACTTATTCATAACAATAAGTTGATCTTGAAATTTTTGAGATTGTGGTGTATCAAATCGTTTACATGCAACTGGAATCTTTTCTCCCGAGTTTAGCCAATATCTTTTTCTTACATTTCCGCGTTGAGTATTTATCCCAGGATTGACATTATTAATCAATTCCCGAGGAGGAACTGATTTTGATTTAATTTCATTACCGTTATTTTCATTTACATATGATTTGACTAATATAATTTCCTCAAATAAGGGATTAACTTGTTGTTTAACCATTGTTACTGGAGATCCAATCTTCTCCAGGAACTACAAGAACGGAATAATTCGAATTAAAATATCTTAAATAAAAAAAAAATAAAATAAAAAAGATAATTCAATATAATATACTTTGTTCAAGATAGAAATATCATGTTCAACCGCCCTTGTATCTCTTTTACTCTGTAATTCGTTGTCCAAGGCAATCTCCAAAGGCACCTCAGAAATGACTTTATCAAATTCTCTAGCAATTCGTTCAAACCTTTCTTTAATAGTATTCGTTGTTTGAAACTTTCTTAAACTCCAGAGATACGAAATATCAGTAATAAAATGTTGAGCTTTTTTCACAATTGCAAGAATTTTCATTAAAGAATTGTAATAAGTTTGACTAAGAAAATTTGTTTCAATTTTATCTTTACGACGTTTTAAAGCTTTAATAGGTGCTGCAATACAATCAACTCGATCAAGTAAAGCATTACTTATTTGTTTATTAAATTGAGCATATTCATAAGTATTATAAATTCTTCTAATGGCTTCATTAAGTGAGGTAATTAATGGAGCGTAAGGTTTGACAATTTCTCCAATGACAGCAGTTTCACCAAGAAGTTGTTTGGCTTTTTCTAATCTTTGACTATTATCAAGTCCATCATATTCTGCTGCTAATATAGCTCTTTGTTCACCTATATCATTAATTGCAGAATCGGTTTGATCTGTATTATAAGGTATTTGTGCGACAGTTTGCCCATTCTCTGACGTAGATTCGTTGAGAAATGGTTGAACATTTTCTTGTGATATATGCGTGAATTCATTTTGGGAAGGTTGCGCATTCTCTTCATTCATAGATTCATTAATATTATTTTGCACATTTTGTTCTTCTACAGATGTAGCTTTACTTTGAGAATTTTCTCGAAATCCGGACATATAAATTGTTGCAAGAGATTTAGGGGATAATAATCGAAAGTCGAAAAATCTGATCCTTTTAATAGAATTATTCACATGATGGGATCATCACCAACACTTGTCACTCTGTTTTTACTATGTATTCTGGGGACTTGGAATTTTTTTCACACACAATTATATAAAATCAGCCGATCTAGACTTTAAAGCTTCGGGCAACAATGAATAATAGTAAATCAAAGATTAAACGTTGTGCATGAGTTAGCTTTGGGCTGAAATATAATTTATATAATAAAATTTATTATTTTAGACTTCAAAGATTGGGAAAATACCATACATGCTTGTGCAAACTATACTGCCATTGTATTTAATATTTAGGTTATGTAGAATATAATATTAAAAATTTCACAATTAAATTTTAAAACAACACAAAAGTTAATCTTGTATCAACTTTTTGAATAATTATATATAAATTATATATATATATTATTTATTAAAATTAATTATTTAGGTATAAAGTTTTGGGTAAAGCCATATATGCTTGTGCAAACTATGCTGACCATTTTATAAAATATTTTAGGATATGTAGAATATAATATAAAAGTTACACAATAAAATTTTAAACAACACAAAAGTTAGCTTTGAACTAAAATATTTAATTATGTAAATTATATAGTAAATAAAATATTTAAAATTTGAGCAAAGTCACAAATGGTTGTGCAAACTATGCTGACCATTTTATTTAAAGTTTAACAATAAAATTTTAAGTAATACAAAAGTTAGCTTTCAACATTATATACATTATGACATTCCCTGTGAAAATACCTTGGAGTATCTCTATTGTTAGGATGTCCTGAAGAATTATCTCATATATTGCGATAAAAGTAACAAAAATGAGGAATAAGATGGCGTCAAAGGTGAATAAAATCATTTTTTATTGAAGAGTTTTTAGGTATTTATTGATTTAGAAGTACGAAAGGTATTTTGATAATTTTTTGCTGTTCGATAGTTTTATTAGGATTTTGCAATTTGATTTAATTCGATCAAATTCAAATCAAAGAATGATTTATTTGATTAAATCCAAATTAATGTTTGATTCAATTTGATCAAATTCAAATCAAGTATTCAAATATTTGATTTGATTTGAATTAATAGTAAAGCTATCTCTAAAGCTTCAGGAGTGGCTCTTACTAAGAAAACAATAGTAAAAAGTGACTCTGCAGCTTCAGAAATGCCTTTTTTTACTAAGAAAATAATAGTAAAAAGTGCCTTTACAGCTTCAAAATTGCCTTTTTTATGGTGCCAGAAGTCTTAACTCGACAATTATTTCAAATTTTTTGCGATGATCTTTTATCACGTGACCAAAACATGAACAATGAAAAATCAGTATTTTGTGTAACTAAATGTGGTTAATTTAGAAATCGTCACGCTTAGTCATTTGAGTTTTTCATTTTATTTCGAAACAAAACTTCCCCCGGAAATATGTATGATATATAAATGAACTTTGAATTACTTCAAGAACATACTTTTAAAAGTAAAGATGGTCTTCGGTTAGAGAGATTAGGAATATTGAGAAAAAGCAAAGCTGGAGAGAATGATCTAAAAGCTAAGTATTAAACTTGTTTTAATTTCTTTATTATAATGCCATTATCTTACTAATCGTCCATTATTTTTTCGATGTTTTCAGGTAGTCGGCAGTGTGACTTATACTTATTAACAGCCCATTTGGCAGTCTCGCCCTCCAGCCCTTTATTATATGCGTCTATGTATCTTTATGACTTACGTGCGAATTTGTGAATGGTCGCAATAGAAACGTTGTTAAGAGTTTTGGGAACAAGTTCTAATAAGTCTGCATATTTGTAGCTACATGATCCTCTAGTTTCTCATTTCACAAAGCCCCAGTATCGCTCTATAAAATTACATTCGCAATGAAACTTTGGATACTGTTCGAAAATATGCTCTGATTTAACAATAATCTCTTCTAATGCTGACAGTTGTCCAAGAAAGTCGGGTTATAAAGATATTATTCGTCGTGTACAGCAGTTCAGTCTTGTTGGGTCATTATCAGCATCCTTTCCAGAACATTTTTTGCACATTAAATTAATCCTCTCCATAGGCCAAAGATTACGTTCCTCAAGCACTTTTTAATTCCCTTGGGTTTCCTCTTAGTTTCTCTATTAGGTAATCATTTGAAAATACCATTGACTGTATACTTTTATCGCCAGATTCATTGATATACCACCCATCATGCATTCTAGGTTGTATTCCTCCAGGTTCTAAATTCATTTTCATTGTGATCAGTGCATCCTCTGCCATAGTATTATGGTTAGTTGACTAATTGAAACAAAAAATACCAATGCATCTGGAATATAATATTTCAAATATCAGAACTGCTTTTTGTATAAGCTGTATTGTAAAAAAATAAGATAAGTTTTAAATTTTTCTTTTTTCATTATTTTTCTTT